GACATACCAATAACAAAGGATGAACTTCGTCATGCTCTTGCTCACGGTAGGGCATCAGCCCCAGGCGATGACGGCATCACATACTCCATCTTGCACCTCCTCATGAAAGTCACTGGTGATCCCCTTCTAGAGCTTTACAACCTTTGCCTCGACATGGATATGTACCGCAAGGCTGGACGAAGAGCCTCATTGTACCTGTTCCTAAGCCTGGCACTGACAAGTTTTGACCAATATCCCTTACATCATGCTTCTGTAAAGTGCTGGAGCATATCCTCTTGAATTACCTTATGTATGGCCTTTGGGACAAACTATCATCCAGGTTATATGGATTCCTGCCACAATGTAGCACACACCATTGCCTACTGGAGCTATGCACTCGCCTCTCATCTACAAGTCTTGTCGCATTCATTGACCTGAAAAGTGTCTTTGACATTGCAAATCCAGATGTGATCCTCGACCAGCTTGTGGACTTTGGTGTTAGTGCAAATCTCTTGCGATGGATACAAGGATACTTAAGCAACAGATCATCCTATGTCCTCTTTAAAGGTGCCTGCAACACAAGTAAGTGTTTTGGCCTTAGGACTCCACAGGGAGGTGTCCTCAGCCCATCTCTTTTCAATATCCTTATGCACCGCTTCATATCCCAGCTCCCTGACATCCCAGGGACAACAATTACATGCTATGCTGACGACATCTGCATTCACTCCAACTCACCAGATATACAGCGCTTACTTCATTTATTTTATGAATCTTCCTCTTCATGTGGCCTCATCATCTCCCCTGAAAAAAGTAGGATATTCTCTCTACAAAACCCACGAACACTATCTGAATTTCTAGTGGGCCACAGCATTATACCATTCTGCACACAGTATCTTTAATTGGGCGCTCCAGTTCGAGTCTTTCCCACCATGCCAGCATGTCAACGTGTCCATCCCATTGTTCAGGAATTACTGACACGGCTACAACGGTACCTCGAACCCTTTTGCTGGCTAACCAACAATGTTGCTGGGGTATCCATTCCCGTGGCCAGAAATATCTATTCAGCTTTTATCTGTACAGTAGTTGATTACCTATCTCCAACTCTTAGTCAACTCTCCAAGACAGTGCTAGATCTCCTTGAAAATTTTCAGAATAAGGTAATGCGCTGCATTCTAGGATGCCCAATGTCTACTAGGATTGCTACCATGCAGCAGGAGCTTCATCTCCTTCCTCTTGTGGAACGAATCTATGCCAATATAACATTCTTTACTGTTAAGTGTCTCCACTCCTCCAGTCTTGCTCCACATTATGCAGGCCGTATTAATATGCCACTTAACCCCAATTCTCGTCCCCCACAACATCGACCAGGTGGCTGTGCTCTTATAAGGAGTGTTTGCCGAGACCTTACAAGATTGGATATTAATGTTCCCCAAGAGGAAGTTGACCATGGTCCTCCCCCGTGGTCCTCCTCCTGTAGCAGTTTCCTACACACCCACCTGTAGGAGGGACCTACCTTGCCAACAGAAACAACTAGCCCTGGAGGCCATTGACAAAGTAAGGTCTTCCATTCCTCCCTCTCACATCCTCTACATTAACGGTTCTTTACAAATGGATGGAACTGCATACTGTGCTGTCTTCTCTCCTACTATGGAACCACCGAATGAGGGATGGACACCGTCTGTAGGACTGGTCAAGCTCTACCTCCTGTGAACTGCATGGGCTTCTAGATGCTGTTAGCTTACTTCTACGGGCCAGAAGTAATGGACTAGTTATTTGTAACTCGCAGTCTGCCCTTAGTGCCCTATCCTCCCCAAACCCTGAAACCCGTAGCCTAGTCAATCACACACTGTGCTATCTAGTCACAGCCATTGGATATGCACTTGTAATACATTTCCTATGGATTCCCTCGCATGTTGGAGTAACAGCGAATGATGTTGTGGACCGTGTTGCCAAAGCTGCCTGTAGGCTTGCCCTACCTGCGACTGACGCCTCGCCAGCAACCCTCTCCCACTACAAGCGGAGGATACGTGCTTCCGCTCACTTGTCAATCAGCCGGCGCAGGAACGCCGAGCGGCCAGCGAGCGTAAGCATCCGGCACTACGACCACTTCGCCTCTTGTCCTACAAGTACCGACGCCGCGGCCTGCTGGTAAGAAGACACGATATGGTAGCTGCCCGGCTCTGGTTAGGCTACAGATCAGTGTGGCAGGTGGGCGAGGCAGAGGACGTGCCCCAGTACTCATCGTGTAAGTTGTGTGACGCACACAATGCCAACCACCTACAGCATTACTGCCTCGAGTGTCCAAAAGTTGATGATCTCATATCAAACAGAGACTCTGTCTTAGACGTCTGGAAGTACTTATTAGCAGAGCATCTAGATGCAATACTTTTGCAATACCCATATTTTGGTGGCTGTTAATACTTCACCCGAGCTTCCGTTGTTTATTATTCATGTATTTATTTCATCATTTTCTCTACATTTGATTCATGGCGTGACCTGCGTGTCACGAATACTCTGTAGC